ATACACTATTCCAATCTTCAAGAAAGGCACAATACTATCAAAACATGAAAATCCGTTATTAATTGATATTTTGTAAGATGATTAGAGACATCAGAGTGTACGAAATACCAAACCGTTACGTGGCTAATCTACGATGTAAAATACCACATACGGTTTTACAATTTTTAACAGCTCACAAGGATTACCGTGCATAAACAAGAATACAGATCCTGCAGAGTCAAGAAAATTTATGATGAAGTTCAAATTAAATACTATATTCAGAGGCAAAAAAGGGGCACGAATATCAGAGATTTTTAAATTATTAGGCAAGAGTGCAGAAAGTAGAGATCCAATTTCTTGAAGAATAATCTTAGTAAATATTCCTTATTAACCACGAGACTTCGGCAACAAGCTTAGTGACTTAGCGGAAGTTCAAACGTTGTGACTACTTTAAAGAGGCTTGCTGCAATATATGTTGAATGAGACAAGGACTACACTTGTCTAAGCAGGGTGATAATGTGAGAGATATGCTTGTGGGTGCAGTAAGTAAGAAAAGTGAACGAAATGCAACTTCTCCTTAAAGTTTCCACACTAATGTCCAGTTTACAATGCAGACGAATAGCTAAAATAAAGTAAACAGGCGGTCTGAAAACTCTAGGACCTTTTGTGTTACAGACAACAGCTAGAACACATAGGCAAGGATACGAAATTAAACTAGCATCTAGTTATATTAGTGGATCTACTCTCATAAAATTTTAGCTTTGAGTTTAAAAGTTTTGAAGCATTACTCACCATCGTCAAAAATCTTATTCTTGTGATCAAGAAAGGAGTTGTAACAGGATATGATCACAGGTACAATTGGGATTTGTGTTTGGATCGCAAGATGAAAGGCACCTTTCTTGAAAGGCAATAACCGACTAGTGCGATTTCGAGTCCCTTCTGGAAAAATGAACATATTTGCCTGAAAAGTATTACAGTAGAGGCAGAATTTCGTTAAATTACATGTTCCTTTTTGATCATTTCGGCTGCTTGCCGCATAGTTTCCATTGCTTTAGTATGATCATTTCTAACGATTGGAAGGATCTTCATAAAGTAAATCATTGGCCATCCCAGTCCATAGAAACGAAGAGAATCTTTTACAATAGACGATGAAGGCTCACGCCATAGACGAGAAATGGCTGGAATTCATAAATTTTATTAAAACTGTTCACACCTATGGCGTCAATGAAGCTCTGGTGATTAATAACATAAATACATTGACGGTGCATATAACAGTTCTCCAACCCATAGAACTTCGGTCGCAGGCCAAGTACACATTGAGATATATGGAGAAGAGGCATAACATCACTTTAAAAATGGCAATTAGTTGAAACAAATCTCACCAGCTATTTGTAAAGGATGGTTTGCCCTTAATCAGAAATATAATTGTGTAGAATACTGAACCGACATTCAATATGAGACCAAAAGCAAAATACTTTACGTAGTAACGCACGATGGGGATTTTGTATATGATATAAAAAACGGTTAGAAGGGAAATAAAAAGCAGTGGCCAGACTGCATCCATCACAAATTCAACCTGAAACAAATAACAAACACCTTGTTATCTTGCTTGCTGTCCGACAGAAGTTCACTCGTAGCAACTGATTTATAAGAATGGTAAAAGAATGACTAAACCAAAAGTGGGTAACTTTGAGCAACATTAAAGGCGAACTACAGTTAGTCATTAAAATGATTCCTTTACCCAATCAATAATCGGTATCATGGGATGTACAACTACACAAATTTGGA